TGGCCTTCTAGAACAATCCCATGAGGCACAGTCTCTTTTCTATTTTGCCGACTAGTGACCATTGCTGCCTTCTTCCAAGCACAAGCTTGACACCTATCTGTAGCGAGAATCCAGGAAGCTGTCAGAGACTATCCCAAACAATGAGGATGAAAACTGATGATGTGGAGGGGAACCAAAGACCACCTGAAAAATTAAGACAATGCCTGAGGGGGCTGGGGATGTAGCTCAGCTGGGAGAGTGCTTACCTAACATGCAAGAAGCCCTGCATTCTATCCCCAGAGCTACATAAACCAGGGCCAGTGGCCCATACTTATAATCCTAGCAGGTAGGAAGATTAGGAACACAAGGTCATCCTTGGCTATAAAGCACGATTGAGGCCAACCTGAGCTACATGAGACCCTCTCAAAATAGCAACTACATACATAGATAAGCACTATACCCTGAGCTACATTCCCAGGGCTGTTTTTACTTTTTATTTTGAAATAGTGTTACTAAATTGCCCAGATTGGCCTTAAACTCTGTGGCTTAGACAGGCCTTGAGCTTGTGATGTGAGAAGTCCTCTGGATACTAAGGTTAGGCAAGATAAAGATGGCCCCTAAATGTTTAGGGGTTTTTAGGTTTCTATGTCAGTAAGAACTCATTTTACTTCCTCTTTTCACTTAAAAATTATTGATGCTGGGCCTAGTGGTGCAGGCCTTTAGTCCCAGCACTTGGGAGGCAGAGGCAGGTGGATTTCTGTGAGTTCCAGGCCAGCTGGGGCTCTAGGGAGAATCTCAGAGACAAAAAAAAATCATTATTTATTTTTGTGTGTCTGTGTATATGTGCCTATGGAAGTCAGAGGACAATTTGTAGGACTTGTTCTTCCCTCCCACTATGTTGGTTCCATGGATCAAACTCAGATCAACAGTCTTGTGGATAAGCACCTTTACCACTGAGCCATCTTGCTGGTTACCCCACTACATTTTTTTTTTTTTTGATCTTTTTAGAGACTGGGTCTCCCTGTAGCCCCAGCTGGCCTGGAACTCACTATGTAGACCAGGCTGACCTTGAAATCACAGAGATCCACCTGTCTCTGCCTCCTGAGTGCTGGGATTAAAGGCATGCCCACCATGCCTGGCTCCTTGTTTTGTTTTTGAGGCAGGGTTTCACAATGCAGCTCTGGCTGTCCTGGAACTTACAGAGATCTGCCTGCCTCTGCCTCTAGATTGCTGGGATTAAAAGTGCGTGGCAACACACCTGGCCAGATAATTGTTTTAAAATAAATTTATGATTTATTATCAGTAAATGTTTGGTTTGTATATATAAAGGGTTTGTTAGTGGAAGATTTAAGAAGCCTTGAGTTAGGGGCTGAAGAGATGGCTAAGTGGTTAAGAGTGCTTGATGCTCTTGAAAAGGACCAGAGTTCAATTCCTAGCACCCACAAGGTGACTCACAACCCTGACTCAGGTTTCAGGGATGTGAAGTACTCTTCTTGCTTCTGTGGGTACTGCACACAGGTGGTGTACATATATACAAGCAGATAAAACACATATTCATAAAATAAATGCATTTTATTTTACTTTTATTTTATGTATATGAGTGTATTGCCTGCATGTGTGTAAGTGCAATGCCCAAGGAGTCAGAAGAGAGCATCAGATTCCCTTGGAATTGGAGTTACAGATGGTTGTTAGCAGCCATGTGGGTGCTTGGAATTGAACCTGGGTCCTCTGCAAGAGCAACCAGTGCTCATAACCAATAAGCTATTTCCCCAGCCCCCCTAAAAATAAATAGCCAGGCATGGTGGCCCATACCTTTAATCCCAGCACTCGGGAGGCAGAGGCAGGTGGATCTTTGTGAGTTTAAGGCCAGCCTGGTCTACTTAGTGAGTTCCAGAACAGCTGGGGCTACAGGGAGACCCTGTCTCAAAAAGATCAAAATTAAATAAATAAATAAATTTAAATAATTTATTGAGAATTTCATACAGGCATATAAGCATATAATATGTTTTGATCAAATCCATGCCCACTCCCTCCCCTCCAACTCCTCCCATATCTTTTTTTAAATATTTTATTTAATGTATACAAGTGTATTGCCCGCATGTATGTGAGTGCACGGTTCTAAGAGGCCCAAGGACATTTTGACTTTTAGCCAAGAAACTGTCTACTTTTCTTTGGGGTCTTTTTACCCTAACTGCCTAGCCAATTCCTACTTCCTATTCTTATCACACCATCCTTTGAAGAGGTTACCCAGCTTGCAGATAGGGAAATTGGGATGCAGACCATTCTGGCTTCTTCCATGCTGAACAGAGATGCAGGGTGAGGCAACTGGGGTACCCCTTCAGTGGGTCCATCTAAAAGACTCCCAAATTGCATAACTCTTATCTGTAGGAGGAAACGAAAGTCCTTGACTGGTGAATAGGAGATGTGAAGGAGAAGTAAGAGTAATTAGCATTACAAGTTCTAGACAGGGAACTAGAAAAAAGTCAGTCAGAACAGGGTAATTTTCAAATGTTCATGTGAGATTCCATTGGAATTTCTTTCTTTTTTTCTTTTTTTTTTTTTGGTCTTTTTTGAGACAGGGTCTCCCTGTAGCTCCAGCTGCCTGGAACTCACTCTGTAGACCAGGCTGGCCTCCAACTCACAGATGATCTGCCTGCCTCTGTCCCCAAGTACTGGGATTAAAGGCATGTACCACCACGCCCTGCTCCATTGGAATTTCTTGACAAGAGCTTCCAAAAGCATCCCTCTATTGGGCTCCTCCTCATTGTTCTTTTGTCTGCCAAGGCTGATAGATTCAGGATTTGCTTTCAGGCATTTTGATAGCTGTTGGAGTGGTTAGAATCAGTGTCAGCTCCCTCTCAAAGTCTTCTAGAGGGAGAAAACAAATTTATCCATCATTTTAGAATAGTGGGTTGTCTCCCTTAGCTACAGGTGGGCACTACAGTATTGCAGACCAAGATTTGAAGTCTTACATCTGAGCAATTTCTGATTCAGAACAAAATCACCATTGAGAAATAATTGTCTAAATAACTATTTATATGGACTTAAGCCTAATGTCTGAGAAGTGTAATCCCTTGAACTCTTAAAGAAATATATGGATCACTTACTCTTTGGTTATACTTCCCTTTTGGGTGTTTAAGACCATACAGTTGGCCCAAATAAAACAATTTATTTTTACACTTAAGGTCGTTTGAGGATCTGATCCTCAGGAGTCACATGGGCTTGGGAGGAGCTCCTGGCTCCTTTCTTTTACCAGTTCCATCTATGTGAAGATAAGCCAAAGGTCCTGCTCGACCATGTCTGGCTTCATTTGGAAGCATGGATGAGATGTCTCCTCTGAGTTGATCCTCCTCTTTGTAGACTGGACACTGGTTCAAGTCCATCTCATGGGGTCTCCTTGGCCTCCCTGAACAAGAGGACAGGTGACTCACCACTGTTACAGGACGTTTTGAGAGATGTTCTATAGTCCCCCGGAACTTAGTCGACCTCGGAGGGCAAGAGGCAAAAACTGTCCTTTAAGTCTCTCTGACCACATTAGTATGTACTGACCAAACTGACCCCACTTTGGATAAAGTCGCCATCTTAGAAGCTTAGTCATAGTGTATTTCTAGCTCAAGGACTGTTTTCAGAAGCCCTGACCCCATTCCCCGTTTTCTTCCCAGGAGAATGCTGCCCCAGTCACTTGCTCTCTAGACATACAGAAAACAAAACTATTATGATAAGACTAACTGCTGAGTCTGGCTTCTGTAACTTGCTTGTTTTGCTATGTTAGGACACCTTGACATGTAGACTGAGATCACCCTCCACCCTGTTATTCGGGGACCACCCTGTCAACATTCCTTTTTGTCATTTTTTAGCTTTAAAAGGTCCCTTTCCCTCTCCTTCCCCACTGCAGCACTCTAATCCAATGTGGTAGCTGCAGTCCAAGCTAGCTTGAATAAAATCTTTTTTTTTTTTTTTTGGTCTTTTTGAAGCAGGGTCTCCTTTGTATCCCCAGCTGTCCTGAAACTATGTAGACCAGGCTGGCCTTGAACTCACAGAGATCTGCCTGCCTCTGCCTCCCAAGTGCTGGGACTACAGGCGTGTGCCACCACATCCGGCTTGAATAAAATCTTTTATCACAATCTGAATTGAGTCTGGTGGTCTTTTCTCAGTAGTCCCGGGTTCCATAACAAGTATAGGCCTCAAAGTATGGTGGTTAAACATCCAAGGTTAGTTCTACCAGTCTGATACTTTTAAATTACAATGTGCTATGTAGATAAGGCTTGGGTAAAAAAACAAATATTCTCAGCTAAACCAAACCTTGACTAGATATATATTTTGTTCCTTTAACTGAATAAACTATGACCTTAGAAATTTTTTTTTTCTTTGGGTCTTTTTTTGAGACAGGGTCTCCCTGTAGCCCTAAGCTGTCCTGGATCACACTATGTAGACGAGGCTGGCTTTGAACTCACAGAGATCCGCCTGCCTCTGCCTCTGGAGTGCTGGGATTAAAGGCATGCTCCACCACACCCGTCAAGTTTAAGAGTTTCAACAGTAAATAATTTCTCAAGACATTAAAGATGAAGTTCTGCAAGGTGCCAGTCATTGTAAGTCTGGTAGCTAGCCCAATTCACATTTTTTAACTGTCAGCTAACCTTAGAAATTTTAAGATTATGTGTATATTTTTTTTGTCTCATCCTTTATGTATCATAACAAACCTACACAGACCTTCATCACTTGCTTAGGCTTTCTCAGTTTTTCTCTTTTTTGGAAACTATCTCCATTCCCATAGTCTTTTATTATCTTTTGTATTCCCCAGCTGTCCTAGAACTTACTATACACAGATCCGCCTGCCTCTGCCTCCCCTAGTGCCGGGATTAGGATTAAAGACGTGGACCACTACAGGCCCGTGGCCAAAAAGGTTTTTACAAGAGGATGATGATCCAGGCTGTGAAACGGTCAGGCAGACAGCTGGTGGTCACGTGGGACGCTCAGGTTCCAGCGCGGGCTACAGGAGGCCCTGGGGCAGGGGGGGGGGGAACCTTCGAGGCCCCGCCCCCACCAAGGCTCAGGAAGGAAGGAGTACCGTGCGTTCGCCAGTAAGCACCTTTGTCTTCTAGGTCTGACCTATTTGGCCGACTTTCTGTTCCTTGAAACGGAACTCAGGCTCTGACTTAGAGGTCGGCCTCCACAACCTCAGCCGGACCCTCCTTCCCTTCTGGTCAACGTGGAATGTTCTGGAATGTACCAAGAGGCAGCCACAGGGGGAAACCGTCGTTTATTCGTTTGTCAGCACCATCTTACCTGCGATTGGAACGTTCAGGAAGGTGCCAACGGGCGGCCACAGGAGGCGCTGTCGTTTAATATCCTGCACTCCGCCTCTGAGTAAGACGTTCCGGAAAGCGGCAATGGGGAGACACGGGCCAGGTGTTCGTTTCTCGCGTCTTCCCCTGACGGGCCGTGGTGGAGCATCCCGGAAGGTACCAATGGACAGACACCGGCGGGGGAGCTCCGCAACTAGAGTGTCTCCCCTGGCGCCCGATGGAACATTCCGGAAGGTACCAATGGGGTTCATTTGTCGCGTCTCCAGCCGCAGTGTCTCCCCCTGGTGGACCGAAGTGGAACAGTCCGAAATGTGCCTCCCCGCTCCTGCCGCGCGCGCTGTGATTTCGTAGCGCGTCTCCACTGACGTCAGCTGGATGGCGAGGAGTCCGTCGCGTCTTCCTGTGCGCCACTTCCGATCCCTTCCGGCCCCGGTGTATTCCAAATCTAAACCCTTGCCTGCCCGGAGTGTGTGCACCGCCAGGGGGTGCGCGGCCTTCGCCCTGAGCCCTGGACCCCGCCCCCGCGGTGTGAGGTAGCGTGGGGACCCGGCAGTGTGACCGGCCCCGCGCCCCGTGAGACCGGCTCGATTCCCCACGCCCGCGGCCGCCCCTGCGCGCCTACCGCAGTGCCCTGGGCGTGGGAGGGAGGCGGCGTATGAACGCGAGTGACAGTCCTCAGCACCGAGCCGAGTCGGGGATCGTTAGTTTTCGCCCGAGGCCAGGTGGCCCCGCGTCCTCGCGGCTGCCCGGGCCACTCTTAAGGACCGTCGTTTTCGCGGGCTCGGCGGATCTCGCGGGGCCGGGCGCACAGGTAGGGCGGGGTCCGACCTAGGCTGTTCAGCCGCGCCGGGAGGAAGGCGCCACCCCAGGGCTGTGGCATCCATGCAGGGCTCAGGTGCAGACTGTCAACCTTAGGCTGCTGCCGATGCTGGCTTCCGGGCAGCGTTGCTTTGGTACCGGCAGTTCAGGCCCCAGCCGATACTTTATTCTGGGGAGCTGGTGCATTTTTTTTTCCTGAAGTAATGTTTTTCGGTCATTTTGACAGGCCATTTCCCTGCAATACTCGCCGTCTGAATCCTTGAGCACGCAGCAAACTGCTGCAAAAGAATAAAACAGAACACTGCAGTTTAGAGACGGAGGCATTGTTCAGTGGCTTTTTTTTTTTTTTTTTTTGTCTTTTTGAGACAGGGTCTCCCTGTAGCCCCAACTGGCCTGGAACGCCCTATGTAGACCAGTCTGGCCTAGAACTCACAGAGATCCGCCTCGCTCTGCCTCCCGAGTGCTGGGATTAAAGGCGTTCACCACCACGCCCGGCTGTCAAATTTATTTTTAATAGCGTGCATCCATCCCATAAAGAGGCTCAGCGGTTAAGAGCACTGACTGCTCTTGCAGAGGACCCAGGTTTGATTCCCAGCACCCACAAGGCAGCTATGAACCGTCCTTAACTCCAGTTCCAGGGGAATCTGAAGCCCCAGAACATTCTTTATACCTTGGGCTGCAGGGAGACCCTGTCAAAAAGACAAAAAAAAAAAAAAAAAAAAAAAAAAAAAAAGTGTTTACCACCATATGCAGCCTAAATTTTTTTTAAATTTTTTTTTTAATGTGTTTTACTGTTTTACATGTAAGTACGTGAACCACACTCATGCAATGCCCACAGAGGTCAGAAGAGGGTCTCAGATCTCCTGGAACTGAAGTTATGGATGGTTGTTAGGTGCCATGTTGGTGCTGGGAACCAAACTAATGCAGGAGCAGCTAGTGTGTTTAACCACTGAACCATGTCTCCAGTCCTGGGCAGACGTTCTTTACCTGGTGTCCATGGGCCAAGAGCTTGCAAAAACTAAAAATTGGATGGAAAAAGAAATGATATTTTGAGCTGAGCATGGTGGGCCATGCCTATAATTACAGCCCTCAGGTGACTGAGACAGGAGAATGACAAGTTCATGAAGGGTAGCCATCCAGACAAGTTCAAGTTCATGAACTTGTTTCCAAAAATAGTCGTCTCACTGGCCCTTGGGTGCGGCAGGGAACTGCCGTCCTGGTGGTTCTTGACTCCGTGTCCCCTGCTTCTCCAGTACCCGTGCCCCTTGTTTTCCCTTCAGAACTTGTGTATACATTTTGGGCAGGGCCTGGAACAGAAGTTCAGGAGCCAGCCCCCGACCAACAACGGAGTTTCATAGACCAGCAAAAAGGAAGTTACAGCTTAGTTTTTCTTTTTCATTTGCAACAGGGCCTCACTATATAACCCTAGCTAGCCTAGAACTCCCAGAGATCCATCTTCGGCCTGAGTGCTAGTATTAAAGGTGTGTGCACCTGCCTCATTGAACTAAGTTATCTGTTCTTCTGGATGCACTTTATAACCTGAGAGGGACTTGGTGACTCAGACCTTTATGGCCAGTGATAGGTAGGGTGATAGTGTAGGCAGCTGTTGCTCTGCTCTGTGTACCCCAAGTTCAAGGTCAGCCACTGACTGGTGGTTCCAGGCTTATGAAGGTCAGGTCAGCTGCCAGTTCTTAAAAACCAGCAGCTTATTGCCAGATCTCTGAAGACCCTCAGTCTTTTGCAGGGCAAGACTTTCTTCTCTCTGAAACTCATGCGAGTTGTAGTCTGCGAAAAGAGAACTGGCCGTGAAAACCTGGCAGCCAGGACTGGCTGAGTCAGAATCTGCCAAGGCTAGCCTTGGGGTTCACCTGTAGAGCTGGACTCTACCCCTAAAGATCTTTGCTCCCTCCTCAGCAGTTGTCCAAGATGTAGCTTTCTGACCAGTCACAGATTAGAACGGTTGCTTGCTTCTGTCTACATGCGGCTTCGTGGAGATGGCCGTGCTGTTCGGTATTCCACCATGTGAAAACCTGAACTGTTTAAGCGTTTGAACGCTGTAAGCTCCCTCGATGGGGTATGATTCTCTGGTTGCCAGCTGAGAGGACAAGGCTGTGGTAGGCAGCCTATGAGGTAGCCCCAAGTGGCCCCCCTTGGCCTCCAAGGGCCTTGCTTCTAGATGGGAAGAGTGAAGGCTGTCACCTGTAGCTGAGCTGCTAGGTTGCGAGAGTCCCTGTGGAAAAGCATGAGGCTTCTGCCAGAGGCAAGTGAAGACTTGAGTCCTGTCATCCACATGAGTGGGTATGGCTCTAGGGCCCCCAGTTGAGCATTCAGATGAGAGCTAATCTGGCCAATAGCAGCTGCAGCTTCAAGGGAGACTTGTGATAGAGGCTGCCCAGCTCCTGACCTCCTGAGGCTGAGGCATTTCTCAGGCCTCTGCCAAGCAGAGAGTGACATCCCCAGTAGGGTATAGTTCTACTTGTGTTCCTGTTGATGTAGTCTTCATACACTAAACATGAGTCCTTTGTCCTCTTGTGACAATCTTCTCCCAGTTGTGATTTGTCATTTCACTTTATGGTGTGTGTGTGTGTGTGTGTGTGTGTGTGTGTGTGTGTGTGTAGTTTGTATGGCGCTGAGGCTCAAACCCCAGGATCCTCATGGATGCCATAAAATTATTATCACCAAGTGGTGATTTGTTTTGTTTTGTTTGGTTTTGTTTTGTTTTATTTTGTTTTATTTTGAGATAGGGTCTTTCTCAAGTCATACCTGGCCTGGAACTTGACCAGGCTGACCTTGATCTCACAGAGATCCATGTACCTCTGCTTCCTGAATGCTGGGAGTAAAAATGTGTGCCACTACACCCAGCCTAAATGGTGATCTACTAATTCTTTAATTCTTTATTTATTTATTTTTTTTTGGTCTTTTTGAGACAGGGTCGCCCTGTAGCTCCAGCTGTCCTAGAACTCACTATGTAGACCAGGCTGGCCTTGAACTCACAGAGACCTGCCTGCCTCTGCCTCCCAAGTGCTGGGATTAAAGGCCTGTGCCACCACGCCCAGCCAATTCTACAATTCTTAAAATGATCAGGATGCCTACAGCTAACTTCACACCTCTACCCCAGCTAACACTACACTGTTCTATTCTTTGTTGCTCTGGATTGGTAACTGTCTTTTATGGAGCGGGGGCAAAGTAGTTTATTGAGAACACTGCACAGGAACTGTGGGCCCGGCACATATTGCCTGAATCAATAACTGTCTTTACTGCTGAATCTGGTTCCCGTCAACCACAGTATTTACTTACTGCTCAATCTGGAATCCCTGACCCTTAACTTTGCAAGACAGCAGGGTCTTAGTTTGCACTCATGTTGCTCAGAGCCCTTTGTCTTTCCTATATGACCTAAATACTGCTCAGCGGGTTCCCCTCGCCCTTCTGTTTTGGGGGTTTTATTTGGGGGGGGCATCTTTTTGAGACAGGGTCTCCCTATAGCCCCAGCTGACCTGGAACTCACTACATAGACCAGGCTGGCCTTGAACTCACAGAGATCTGCCTGCCTCTGCTGGGATTAAAGGTATGTGCCACCATGCCCAGCTTTCCTCTCCCCCTCCCTTAATGTGACCATGTGATTTATGATTCATGATTTTTTAAATTGTATTGAGATTTGAACACAGGGCCTCACTCATAGTAGGTTAGCATTCTAACCCTGACTATATCCCCAAGCTTCTTTTTTGTCTCAGTGTCTCACTGGACAGCCCAGTGGCTATCCTTGAACTAATTCTGTAGCCCAGGTAGGCCTTGAACATGTGAACTTCTTGGGTAACTGGAATTATAGGCCTTTGATACCAGCCCTGGCCCTTCTAGAATGCTAAATTTTTATTTTTCTTATTATTTATAGTTGTTATTGAGGCTTTTTTTTTTTGAAACAGACTCTCACTGTGTAGCCCTGGCTGGCCTGAACTCACAAAAATTCACCTTCTTCCCACGTGCTGGGGTTAAAGTTGTGTACCATACCTGGCTTCTCCTGGGACTTCTGTCCTTATTAAGTCCTCAGGATTCTGTTAAAATCTCCTTTGTATTTTATCTTATTTTAAAAATTATTTAGCTAGGCGTGGTGGCACACGCCTTTAATCCTAATGCTCAGGAGGCAGAGGCAGGTGGATCTCTGAGTTTGAGGCCAGCCTGGTCTATGTAGTGAGTTCTGTCTAGGTCACCTGGGGCTACAGGGAGATCCTGTCTCAAAAAGACCAAAAAAAAAAAAAAAATGAGGAGGAGGAGGGAAAACCTCATTATTTTATTTTAGACAAGGTCTCACTATGTAGGCCAGGCTGGCCTCAAACTCACAGAGATCCTTCAGCCTCTACTTTCTTCTTGAGTGCTGGCATGTACCAGCATGCCCTCCTTAGTATTTTGTTTGTTTGTTTGTTTGAGACTAGGTCTCACTAAGTAGTTCTGTAGCTACCCTAGAACTCATTATGTAGACCAGGCTTACCTGGAATTTAGAGTAATCCACCTGCCTCTGCCTCCCAAGTGGTGGGTTAAAGTCATGAGCTACCATGCCTGCTACCTCCTTAGTATTTTAATCTCATGTTTCTGTGCTGCATTCTAGGTAGCTAAAATAGATTTTTAAAATATTTATTTTGGGGGCTGGAGCGATGACTCAACAGTTAAGAGCACTGACTGCTCTTGCAGAGGCCCCTGGTTCAAGCCCTAACACCCATATAGTGGCTAACAACCATCTGTAACTCCACTTCCAGGGGAATCTGATGCCCTCTTCTGACTTCCTCGGGCATTGCACAACATTGGTGTACTTAACACACATGTGGGCAATACACTCATACACATAAAATGAAAAGTTGGTTTTCTTTTTTTTGTCTTTTTGAGACAGGGTCTCCCTGTAGCCCTAGCTGTCCTGGAACTCACTATGTAGACCAAGTTCAAGGCCAGCCTGGTCTACACAGTGAGTCCAGGTCAGCTGGGGCTATAGGGAGACCCTGTCTC